TCCCAACCTTTGTATACATTTGATTATTTGTCCTTAACAAGGAGTGAAGTACTATATTGATATGAGCTACAACATGAACGAACGTGAAGATTTAGCATCATGAAGACATTATACTAAGTGAAATAAGCCAGACACAAATTGAAAATACTGTATGATTCCACTTATGTTTAGTCCCTAAAGTAGTCAGATTCATAGGGACAGAAGGTAGATGGTTTCCAAAGGCTGATCAGGGGAGGGAAATAGGAAGCTAGAGGTGCAGAATCTTAGTCTGGGAAGTTGAAAAAGTTCTGGAGACAGATGTTGGTGATGGTTGCACAACATCATGAATGTACTGAATGCCAATAAATAATGAACTTAAAAATGGTTAATGTGATAAAATTTATGTTGTCTCATAGTAGAATTTCTAGGCAGTTTATGGGAGCCACAGGTAATATTCCTTTCCATTATGATTTTATTGGTTTAATTTACAGAGAGTAACCTTATCTTTTTGTTTCCAAAACATTGGGAGGTGCTTATTAGTGTGAGGGCTGAATTCGAGCAGCCAAATGCAGTATAGTCAGATTTTGCCTTCTGGTAGATAAATTGCTTAAGGGAACAGACAGTAATCTTTTATCACCTATAATGTACTGAGGGAAAACAAAGTCAGCAGATTGTGCCATGACATTGTGGATTATCCAGAAGGTCAGTATAGGGCTGAAACACCCTATTCTTGTACCCTGAAGCCCAGCCTGTGTCCACCCCATTTCTATTTTCTCATAACACTCAAAGAATAAGAACATTTTTCATGTGGATTTATAATTAGGCTTTGCCCTGGCCTGCTGACAACAGATTGAGCTTTATGAAAGGAAACACTACAAAGTAGTAAAATCAAAACACCATAGTTAGAATCTTCGCATTGTAAAATATCTAAGCACTCACTCCCCCAGAGGATGGGCTCTGCCTTGTGGAGTGATAAGAATTTCAACAGCTGCTAAGCAAGTCCATTTTCAGCTTCACACGCCTTAGGCTCTTATTCACTTTCTCCTTATATTGACCAAATTGTCTCCTTGCAGTAAGCTTGCAGTGGCTTATGATCAGAAGACTTGGTTTTATGTCCTTTCTTGCTCTGCCATATGAAATAGCTCAAAGAAAGTAACTACAGCTTCTTAACTCAATATCTTTAACTATTAAAAAAAGTCACAGACTTTTAATGGTAAATAAAATAATACAAATAAAAACACATTGTCACAAGTGAATGTGTTTTTGTACCCTTAAAAAGGATAATGATTATTGAAGCCAAGAAAAAGTATATAGAGAAGAATTGAAACTTAGTATTCTAGTGATTTCCTGTGTCTAATAAATAAGTCTTGTTATTTATTTAAAAAGCGCATCTTTTTCCAGACTTCCTATAAGTCACCCCAGAAGGTGCTGTGCCAATTGCCTGGCATATAACAGGTGCATAAGAAATATGTGTTGAATACTTTCAGTGTAAATATATAATTCATCATCCACATTTACCCAGATTGGGGGGGGGGTTCAAAATATATTTAAATCAGTAATAAGAGGCCAATTCAACTCTCCTTTGGATCTCTCCCAACCCCTTTATTCCTATCTTTCTGTTTAAGGCTTGTCTTAATCATTTCAGGCAGCTATAAGAGAATGTCATAGACTAGGCACCTTAAACAACAAATACTTATTTCTCACAGTTCTGGAAGCTGGGAATTCCAAGATCAAGGCATGGCAGTTCCACTGTCTGTTGAGGGTCTTGTTCCTGATTTGTAGGCTGTGGTCTTCATTGTATTCTCACATGGCAGAGAGAATGAATAAGCTCTCATATCACTTAAGTGCATTAATCCCATTCACAAGGGATCCATATTTATAATCTAATTACAGTACCTCCCTAAGTTCTCCCCATCACATTGGGCTTTAGGATTTCACATAGTTTTGAGGAGGACACAAACATTCAGTTTGGTCAGTAACAAAGGTCTACCTGCTAAGTACTTTTATTTCAATTAAGCGATTTCTTTTCCTGAATTCAGTGTTCATATTTATTGGTAAATATTGGTATTCATACCTGTCCTTTTAAGCCCTAAAATAGTTTCTTTAATGTCTCTACCAGAAGAGATTCCTGCTTGTTGTAGTAGACTGTAACAGCTCTCAAAGGCTTCGGTTTGTTGTCTGTATTCCACCTAGTCTTAAGGAGCATATGGGGAATGGACATATCCCCTCCTACATGGCACTTGGCTCTTGAGAATGAAGTTAATCATATTTGGGTACACTGAATACCAATATTATGATTATTATGTGTGAACATATGTGTTGGCTTTGCCTTTCAGGTAAGTAGAATCTAGTAAAAAAGAAAAAACCTTACAGGGAGGTGGAATAAATTAGGAACATGTCAGGCCTCAGAGTTTGAGGTCAGTTGTCCACTATCACTAAACCAATGTACTATCTTGAAGGTGAGGGCAAAATGGTAGTCTCTGATATATGAGAATACTAGTCATTAGTTGTAAAAGTGACTTAATGGCAGTAAGGCACAAGAGGAGGTAAGACCATGGTCAGCTGCTGAAGGCCCAGAGACAAAGTGTTAGCCCTGCTTAGGTGTGCTGTCCAGACAGAGTTCTGGTGTCCTCAGCGACCCCACAGGAAGCCTGGTCCAGGTGTGGAGGCACTGTTGAGTTTGCAACAAAGGCTGCAGCTAATTTGAATGTTCAAGCCTTTCTCTTCCATAGTGCATAATTTATCGTGACCATAAAGAACTTCTGACAGTTCTTTTTACTGAATCTTTCTTGTGAAAGGTTACCCCCCAACCCCAAGGATTTATAACAGGGTAGAGCACCAATTTGCTTTAAATATTTTGGAAATACTCCTTGAGGCATAAGAATAAATAAAATAACTTAAAATTTTCAACTCTTTTTTTTCAATTTTGTCTTATAATTTCTAGACTCTAGAGTAAAGTTCAAAAGTAAAGGGAAAGCAAATTATATCTTTTACCAAAGTTTGAAAGCAGCAGACATAGCCTTCTATGTATGTCAATTTTCAGCAGAATTACAAGAGTTCCATTAGGATATGTGGCAGAAATACAAATGGAAGCAAACTTGCCTCAAAATTTAGTGCCAAATTTAAATTATAAATAAGTTGTTACTTTTGGTAGCTTTCTTGATAATTTTGAGAAGTTCATTATTTTCATTTCAAGATAATAAAGTGTGTATTCATTTGTGTGTGATGTATAATAAATATACTAAATTTTGCATTTTCAATTTTATAATCTGCATTGACCTTGTCTTTTACAAATGCTTAGAAATCTCACTGAATCAGATGCTTTTTAAAGAGCTGATATAATACATAAAATTTTATATAAGAACTGATCAAAAATACTGTGTTTAACTTAAAAATCTATTTCAGTAAAAGACACTTTGCCCCTCAACTATTCTCCCTCCACACACAATTTAGCCCATTTTCCTTACCACTTTCCTAACCAGTTGTGGAAGTCCTTTGCAGTGAGTATCTTTACGAGGTGTTAAGCTGCTAAGGCTGTCATCCAACAGACAGGCAATACATGTAAAAATATTACACTGTGTCCTTGTTCACCAAGCGACTTCTGGCTCTTCCCCAAAGTCAAAATGACCATGAAAGGTAAATTTTTTGAATCTCAAAGAGCAGCCACAAGAACACAACTACACATTCACAAAAGAGGACTTCCAGAACTGCCCGAGACAGTGGCGAGAACAATGCAGTGTGTGTTCAAAGCAAAGAGGAATATTTTGAGGGAGATTAGTAGTAATTTGTTACACTTTTACTTTTGTTTCTACCAGTTCAGAGAGTAGGAGGTTATTCTCATTTTGTTAATCTTCCTTTTTGAAAATAATGCATATAATACTGAGAAATTCAGGAAAGAACCATTCTGACTGATAATTGCCTTAGCTGATCAGCCCATACAGAACACATAGGCTGTCTTTGGTCAGATGAGGCCATCAGTGGTCACAGTTGCTCCAGAGCCTGATTCTTCTTCCCTCTAGGGAGCAGGATGAGGCATGACAAGCTTCATCATTAATATTTTAGGAAAATGAAAGTATCTTTCCCTGGTTAATCAAAAGAAAAATTCTAAGAAATATTTAATGAACTTCTTAATTCTTGTCTTATGTAAGACAGGTAGCTAGGAACAAGGACAAGAGGATATTGTTAGGGATATGGGAGGTGACTGGAGCAACATTTCAGACTTTCTTTTTGTTTTTGTTTTTTTTTTTTGGTACCAGGGGTCGAACTTGGGACCTTGCGCTTGCAAGGCAGGCAGTGGAACCACTGAGCTAAATCCCTGGCCTCATTTCAGACTTTCTTATAGCGCATAACTGTATTATTTGAGGCTAAGTATTACCAGCAAGCCAGTGAAGCAGAGGGAACAATGCAACCACTAGAAAAATTGTGTCAATTATGAAATTTTAAAATGAACTCACATTTCAGAAACTCAGCAGTTCTTGAAACATGTGTATTACACTTTGATATACCAAACAAACTTTAACAACTTAATCAATGGGTATACTTTTGCCATTTTTTCTCTGAAGTTTTATCCTGCAACTCTTGAGATGTTCAGCTGTCACACAGACCAACATATTGATAGTTCTCTCTCATTCTCTTATGAGTGATGAGCATACAGTACCACTTCTGTGAGCCTGTGTCCCCTAGAGATGACTGTAACCTGCTATTGATCAGCTGATTGAAGATAAATGGCTTAGCTGCTTGTATTGCAGATTACATCATTAACATGGTCAGTAAACCATGAATTGTTCAATAAGGCGTTTATCTTTTTTCATTTTACTTGTGCTCTTTTATCATTTTTATTAGAAAAGACAAAATTACCCACCCTAACCAGCAAGATCAGTTGAAAAGAAACCTGGTAGGGTGGCCTTATGGGTCGAAAGTTACAGATAGCTAAATTCTAATGGCTTAATGATCATTTAGTGGATGTTTTTGAACTGAAAAAATACAGTTTTGATAACATTTTTTGTGTGTTTCTCTTACAGCTTCCTTTTGCCTCATATTTACTAGAAGCAGTACTGGAGAAAATGAATGAGAACAAGAAACTACTTGAGGGATATTTCACAATTATGAAAGATATTAGATGATGTTACAGGGGAGAAATGGAGAGCTTTTATGCAGATGTGAAAACTTTTTTATGTGTTATGATTGAAAAACATACTGCAATCTTGATACAGTATTTGGTGTAACTATCAATAGTCAGGTTCAGTACCAAAATATGTCTCTGAAACTAATTAATTGCTGAACAAGTGAAAGTAGTTAAGTGCATAGCCACTTAAAAGGAAATAGTATAGCATTTGATTGTTGAATACAGATATTGCCACAAATCAATGCAAACTTAGAAATGATGTTTTCAATGCTTTGGAAGAAACTAGAACAAGTTTGGCATACACAAATGAGTTAGTATAAAAAGAAAATGGTGTAAACTAAGGACTTAATGTTTTAAAAGCTAGACTTTTTACATAAAACTCCTATAAATAGTCTTAAGAGGGATCCAACGAACAACACATTTGTACTGTAAGCAAGCGTAGAATAAAGCATAACTTATGAATGATCACTTAATGAAACAAACTGTGGTTTAATTATATCTCTTGTTACTGATATACTGGATTATACAGAAAAGACTTTTTCTTGAGTGATTTTCAAAATATGAAAATACCCCTCTCACAATGCTTCTTGTAGTCGTATAAATTAACAAGGGGCTACAGTACAAACACAGTGCATACAGTTAGGCTTTAGAATTTACACTGTGCTCAGCTAAATAAAGTTGCTTTCTTAACAATGATATTATTTTTCTTATTTCAGTTCCTGAATATTCCCACCTTATTTCACCTCTTCACTATTTTCCTGCCACACACTAATGCACCAAATTTGTGCCTGCCTCCCACATTTGCTCTTGCTATTCTTTCTAGAATACTCCATACTCAATTTTCCCCATAGATGGCTCCTTCTCATCATTTGGGCTCACCTTAACCATTTGTTCACAGACAAATTCTCTGACCATCTTACTATTGACTTTCCCAAGATATAAAGTTATCTGGTTTATTTGTCTGGTCACCTTTTTTATTCTTATCTATCACTCCCTCTTCAGAATGTAGGTCCCATGAAATTAAGGCAGGGGTTGGCAAAAAATAGCCCACAACCAAATCTGGCCTACCACCTATTTTTAAATGACCCACAAGCTAAGAGTGCTTTTTACATTATTAAAATGGTTAAAAATCAAAAAGAGAACAGTATCCTGTGTCATGTGGGAATTATGTGAAATTCAAATGTTAATGTCCATCAATAAAGTTTTATTGAAACACTGCAATGTTCATTCATTTACATAGTATATTATTTATGGCAGGTTTCACACCACAGTAGTATAGTTGAGTAATTGCAGTAGAGACCATATGTGTGGTCTTCATCACTTTGCACTATTGCCTGACACACTATAAATCATAATGACACACTTATAGTTTGATAGCATTTCAAGTGCTATAAATACTGCCTTACTACAGTTTTTTAAAATATCTGCATGTGCATCATGTCAAACCAAGAAAATAAGAGGAAAATAGCCAATGATTCATACTTTTAAGGCATAGTGAAGTATATTTTATTTTTGTTTTGTTATTGAATTAGGTGACAAGACATTCTGCCTATGCTCAAAAATACAATCTGCACTGACATTAACAGACATAACACTCATAATATTATCAAGTCACAGGAAAGCAACAGTAAGAAAAATTACAAAATATAAAATGTAACATCACAGTAGAATTTTATTACAAAGATAAATATGATGCCCCAGTATTCTCCTGATACCAAAACCAAAAAAGATAGTACAACAAAAGAAATGTGTAAATAGGGAGGGATGGAGGGGTTGAAGGGAGGGCAGGGGAATGGGGAAAAATAAGAACCAAGAGATTATGTAAAGGTGCAAATTTCCAATGGTGAATATCATTATATTGTATACCTAAAATGTACCAATAAAATTAATAATGAAAAAAAAAGCAAAAGATGTGATAGGCTGAAAATGGCCCCACAAAATGTTTGTCTCTCTAGAACCTGTGAAATTTTCATCAAGGAATTTTGCAAATGTTAAGGAACTTGAGTTGGAAGATTATCTTGGATTGTCCACCTGGAGCTACTGTACCACAAGGATTCCTATACAAGGGAGGTAGGATGGGTTAGGGTTAGATCCATGAAATCTGATGATGCTATGCTACTGGCTTTAAATATGGAGAAAGGGGACCGTAAGTCAAAGGATTCATGTGGTGTGATCCAAAATAAGATAAATGTTTAAAATTTTAAAATTCATTACAGTAGATATTGCCATTAATCTCCCTCAAAATATCCCCCCTCACTTTAAACACTTATCCCATCATTCTTGCCACTTTCTGAAGCAGTTCTGGAAGTCATCTTTCACAAGCATCCTTTTGTGGCTACCTTGATGTTCTGAATTGATTCAAAACATTTATAGCAATATCTGTCAATAAAAACATTATGCTGTGTCCTCATCTACCTTGCTCACTGGATCTGGCATCATGCAAATTCTGGCTTTTCTCCGAAATCAAAATGAACATGAAAGGTAAATGTTTTGAATCAATTCAAGACATTGAGCCAGCCCCTGGAGACTGGAAAAGGCAATGAAACATTCTCCCCAACAACTTCTGGAAGAACCACCTCTGTCCACATCCTGACCTCATCCTGGTAAGAGTGATTTTGAATGTTCAGGACTGTAAAAGACCATTTTTTGTTTGTTTGTTTGTTTGTTTTAAGTCATGAAGTTTGTGGTGATTTGTGACTCCACCAATAGAAAAATCAATAAAATTTGCTAAAGTTCCATTTAGGATTTTTATATCATGTTCATGAGGGACGTTGATGAGAAAACACAGAAAACTGATTCATTTAAAAATTCATCAGTGTAAGATGCCATATGAATGGGCTGAAGAATAAACATGACATAAACATATAACTTGATATATGAAAACCGTTTCACAAAATTCACCCATGCATTAAAAGAAATAAACCCCTCAAAATTAGGAATAAAAAGGAAGTTCCTTAATTTGATAACATCTTCAAAAAGCCTACAACTAACACTACTTAATGATGATGACAATTGGGAGGCTGATGCTGGAGGATCACCAGGAGTTCAAGGCCAGCCTGAGCTACATAGCAAGATCCTGTCTCAAAAAGGATGCCAGCATTCCTAATAGGGAAACCTAGCCAGCAGAGTAAGGCAACAGAAATAAAAAGCATACAGAAGATTGGAAAAGAAGAAGTAAAGTTATCTCTAAAGCAAAGAAGCAAACCTAAAGTTCAGCAATATCTCAAAGCATATGATCAACATAAAAAAATCAATTGGATGCCTATATACTAGCTAACTAGTAATCTATAGAAACCAAGATTTAAAATACATATTTTAAATATGTATTTATATTTCATATGTATTCTCCCAAAAGAAATACATAGGTGTAAACTAACAAACTTGTACAGTATTTATATACCAAATCTACAAAACACTGATGAAAGAAATCAAAGACCTAAACAAGACAGTGTGACTGCCAAACACTCAAGACAATAACAATATCAATTGTTTTCAATTTGACATACAGATTGAACAAAAGTCCTAACACCACAGCAAGATGTTTTGAAGGTAAAGACAAGATTCTAAAATTTATATGGAAAGGCCAAGAAACTAGAATTGTTTTCAAAAATTTTAAGGAAGAATAAAATGGGAGAAATCACTACCTGATTTCAAGATAAGTAGCTGCAATAATCAGGAGTGCATGGTATTAGCAGAAGAATGGATACAATGGAATAGAATAGAGAACCAAATACATACCCATGTGATTATGCTCAAGTGATTTTAGACAAGGGTTCAAAAGTAATCTAGTAGAGGACAATAGCCTTTTCAACAAATGATGCTGAAGAACTTGGACAATCCTGGCTTAAATATCTTGACCTTAACTTCACAGCAGGACAGATTATTTAATGTAGGAGAAGAAATCCTGGTGTGCTATTGTACAGTAGATGGTGGTTAATTGGTCAACCTGAGTAAGGAACGCCCCTCTGAGTTAAGTCCATAAGATTCTGGATGCCTAAGACCCACTTTAAGGAGGATTGTTGTTGGAGCAATATAAAAGGAGAACAGTAAGGAAGGATTTCAGCTGATTTCCCTTGGAAGAGCTTCATTGAGGCTGATTTTCCTCCGAGTTGCGTCAGCTGTTCTCTTCGGAGGAGCTCCTCTCTTTCCCTTCACCTTAGACATCATCTCCAGGCTTTTGGCACGGACTCTTCAGCTTCCCGCAGCGACCCTTTGACTTCTTTGCCTGACCCTTTGGTCTTCCCTCACGGATCCTTCGGCCTCCTGATGCGGAGCCTACGTTGCTGTGGGCTCACAGGCCTCAGCTGGATCCTTCAGATTTCTAGCACACAGACAGATCTCTTGCACTCTTTTACATTTGAATCTGCGTGACCACTGTAGGCCGATCTTGTAAATTTCTGTGTCCTACATTAAATCTGAATCACAGCGTGTGCTGTCTTTTGAGGAGCCTTGCCCCAACCTGCACGTTCTTCTGAGCCCTGACTAATACCGTGATGTACTATTAGTTTATAAAACTAGAAAAAAGGACAGAATTTTTTTTTAATAAAAATGATGCACTGCCTGCCTCGCAAGCCCAAGGTCCCGAATTTGATCCCCGGTACAAAAAAAAAAAAAAAAGATGTTTGAGCAGATAGCTATGTTTAGCCTTATTTGAGCACTGCACAATATACACATGTATCAGTACATCTCATAGAATTTTAGTGTTTAAAATTTTTTTAAACAAATTATCTCAAAATGAGTATACATTTGAAAGTGAAATGTAGACAGTAACATGAGAAAATCTTCAGGGCCTAAGGCTTTGTGAAGAATTGCTAGACATGACAACAAAACAGGATGTGTAAAAGAAAAAAAAAGGTAAATGTGAGTTCTCCAAAATTTAAAAGTTTTATTCTGAAAATCAACAAGCTACACAGAAAACATATTCACAAATCACAAATTCAACAAAAGACTTATATCTAAAAGAATTCTCAAAACATTAATTCAACAGTGAAAAAATCCTTTGTGAGTTAAATTCATATCCTGGTAAATTACAAAACAAGTGTATAGCCTATCACCACTGTAAGCAAAAATTGTCATGATTGCATGTGTTTCAGAATATATGATTAAGGAAAGAGTGAATTTTACTTTTCAGCATGAACCCTTAGTCTTCTGTTAAAACCAGCTGTACTCAAAATTGTGCAGGATTCTGTCCAGTTACCCCAAATTATCTTTGGTTTTAGAGAATCCAAAATGAAAATTACTGTAACAAATATATAGCTACAAAGAGAAAGGTTTTCTTTTTGCTCCCAAAGTAACTAAATGAAACAGAAAGCAAAAGTACCAGAAAACCTTCTGAGAGAGCCCTGTATTGTTCTAAATGTCTGTGTTCAGGAAGGGTTGTGACATGCTGGCCAAAGGAGTTGTTATTTTTAATTCCTACATTTTTATACACATAACTACTTTTGATAGTAACTAAATTTATATGAATGATTTAAAATAAGTTGACTATTTTCTTGCCTGTGACATGAAAGTTTTCATCAAATAGATGATGTTTTTTAAAACCTCTTGGCTAACCTTTTAATTTTTAAATACAGACATATATATTTGATTTAATTTTTTTCTGTTCCCTAGTGAACTGAGCACTGCAAAGATTTCCTTTCCACAGTTCCACCCTCCTGTTCCCTCTGATGGACCACAGCCCATAAAACCACCATCTTGATGTCACTCTTCCAACAGTTTTGGCCACATCTCTATCCACCTTGCAAAATGACTTCCAGGCCATGTTCTCTGGCAGCCTCCCCTTCATCAGAGAAACCTTGCAGCAAGGTTTTATGCTTTAGTTTTGAATATGTGACAATTTTTAGTTAATTTTTAAAAATTAATTTTATTGGTACACTTTTGACATACATAACGATCACATTCATCATAGGGATTTGTACTTGTCCATAATATATATTAATTCTTTTTTCCCATTCCCCTCCCTTTCCTTCAATCCTTCTCTCCACCTCCCTTTACAACACTTTGCTTCTATTGTTTTCCTTCCATTTTTTACACATTTTCCCTATGCCCTCCCTTTCCTTTCCCTGCTCCCTTGTTCCCCCTTCCGTTTTGAACATTTTCTTCCTACTTGCCAATATCTATCATCCATTGTGATCCTTATTTACCTTTTGGGTTACTTACACAACAGAAACAATGTGATATTTAAACATGTGTCCCATTTATTTCACTTAAAATTATGTCAAGGTGCATCCATTTACCTAAAAATGTCTCAAATTTATCCTTTATGGCAGTATAGTGCTCCATTGTATATAAAAACCACATTTTCTTTATCCACCCATTGATTGATCCATTGATCCATTGGTTGATGGGTTTATCCATCCATCTGGGCTATTTCCAAGACTTAGCTATTATAAATTGTGATATTATAAACATGAATGTGCATATATTGCTATGGTATGATTTAACTCTTGGAAAGATATGAAAAAGAGAAATAGCTGGGTCAATGAAACCTCTAGTTTTAGTTTCTTGAGGGATCGCCGCACTGATTTCCATAGTGGTTGTACCAATTTACACTCTCACCAACAGTGGAGAAGGGTTCATTTTTCTCCACAGCCTTACCAGCATTTGTTACTGGTTAATTTATTGATCACAGCTATTTTGGGGGGGAGTAAGATGGAATCTCCACGTTGTTTTAATTTACATTTCTCAAATGACCAGTGATACTGAACATTTTTTCATATATTTATTTGCTGTTTCTACTTCTTGATCTAAGAAGTGTGTATTCATTGGCCTGTAGCTCTCTTTTTTGGTTGGATCCTTCTCTGGTTTTGGTATCAGGGTAATGCTTGCTTCCGGGAATGAGTTTGGGAGTATTTCTTTCAATTTCGTTAAAGAATTTGAGAAGTAGTGGCATTAGATCTTCTGTATAAAGTTTTTGTAGAATTCAGTAGTGAATCCATCAGTAACTTTCTTTGTTGGTATTTTTAAAAATTTCTTCTTCAATTTCATTGACTGATTCTGGATTATTTAGAATTTTTATATTTTCTATATTCATCTTTGCTAATTCATATGTATCTAGGAATCTGTCCATTTCTTCTACATTTTCCATCTTAATAGAGTTCAGGTTCTCGAAGTAGGTGTTGATGATCTTTTGAATTTCTGCAGGATCTATTGTGATTTCACCCATTTCATTCCTAATTGCATAGTCTAATTTTATTTATCTTTTTGTTTTGCGAAGGAATATGCACTTGCTTCACACCACTTTTTGAAGGAGGTATCCTTCAGTAATTTGCTTCTGTATTTTTGTCAAAAAATCAGTTGAGCATGGTTGTGTGGGTCCACATTTGCATTTTCTATTCTGTTTTATTGATATATGTATCCATCCCTCCTCTGAGTTTTTCTAGAAGAAATCTTGTAAATTTGGCATTAATTCTTCTTTAAATGTTATTTATTTTCTATGATTTTTTTTTTTTGGTACTGTGGATCAAACTCAGGACCTTGTGCTTACAAGGCAGGTACAGCGACACTGAGCTAAATCCCCGGTGTTCTAGGAAATTTTAAACATGCATTCAGTTTTCTATACACAATTCACATTACCTATTTCACGTTGATTGAGTTTTTTGAATGTTTGTGATGTTCAAGGAATTGGTGCATTTCTTCTAAATTATCTATTTATGAACATAAAGCTGGTTGAATTTTTAGTGCTCCGGGATCTATAATGACATTCTCTACTCCATTTTGGTAACTTGTGTCTTTTGATTTTTAGTTTTGTTAGAGGTATAATCAGTAAAACTGATTATTTTTAAAGAACCAATTATTATTTAATTAATTTTTCTATTTTCAATTTCATTGATTTCTACTTTGTCATTCTCATCCATTTGCTTTGAGTCAATTTTGGGTTTTTCCTAGTTTTTTGAGATAGGGCTGTAAATGTTCCTGTCAGCACTGCCGTATCTGTATGTCATATATTTTGCTGCACTGTGTTCTTTTTCATTAAGTTCAATGTGTTTTAAATTTTTCTTCTAGACTTTCTATTGACCTTGAAGTATGTTGTAAATTTTTATATGTTTAGAGATTTCCTATAATATCTAGCTAGCATTGATTGCTAGTTTGATTCAATGATAATTATAGATTTCACATTGTATAATTTAAATTCTTTGTATTTGTTAAGGTTTGTTTTATGACTAAAGACATGGTCTTTTTGTTGAATTTTCTCCATGTGCACTTGAGAGAAAAATATGTATTATGTTGTTGTTTGGTAGAACATCCTATTACTGTCAATTAGAACTTGTTGGTTGGATGTGTTACAGATTTCCTATACCCTTGATATTTTTCTGTAGCAATTCTATCAATTGCTGAAAAGGGGATATTGAAGTCCCAGCTATCACTGTGGATTTGTCTTTCTCTTCTCAGCCTTATTAGTTTTTGCTTCATGTGTCTTGCTGTTCTACTGTTTGGCCCATGCACCTTTAGGATCATTTGTCTTCCTGGTGGGGTAATATTTTTGTAATTATGTAATATCCTTCTTTGTCTCTACTAATTCTCTTTGTTTTAAGATCTATTTTATAAAATAATGCAAACATCCCTGCTCCCTTTTTCTCTTTCTAGTTTTTATTATTATTTTTAAAATTAATTTTATTGGTACAATTTAAATATACATAGTGATCACATTCATCAAAGGGAATTTGTACCTGTACATGGTATATCTTGATTCCTCTTTTTCTCCCGATCCCTTCTCCTCCCTTTAACCCCTCTTATTATAAAAACTTTGTTTCATTTTTTCCTTCTTTTCTTGTTTTTTTTCTTTTCTCTTCCTTTTCCCTCCCTCCCCCTTCACAGTTTCCTTTTCCTTTTGAACAGTTTCTTTCTATTTCATATTATCTATTATATATTTTGGTCTTTATGTACCCTTTCAGTTTCTCACATCAGAGACAATGCAATATTTACACGTATGTGTTTGATTTATTTCACTTAAGAGTATGGTCTCAACTTACATCTATTAAATAATATTCCTGTTCTTTTTTGATTGACATTTGTCTGGTATGTGTTTTTAATCATTTGTTTTCTTTCAACCTATGTATGTCACTGAATTCAAAGTGCATTTCTTGTGAGATCAGTGTATGTGCATGTGTATATTTATTCTGTCAATTTCTGTCTTTATTTTTAGACCATATATACTTAAGGTAATTTTTTTTTTTTTTTTGGTACCAGGGATTGAACTCTGGTCCTTGCACTTGCGCAGCAGGCAGCGAAACCACTGAGCTAAATCCCTGGTCCTACTTAAGGTAATTTTTGACAAATTAGTGCTTAAGTATGCTGTTTATTATTTGCTTTTTGTTTGAGTCTTCCAGTTTTCATGCCTTTTCTCTTGCTTCCCTGTGGGTTACTCCAAAAATTTTTAAGATTCTATCTTGGTTTATCTCTATTTTGAGATCATACCTTTGTATAGTCTTTTTAGTCATTACTCTGGACAAGTTGGAAGGGGAGAGGGAGAAATATTTGACTTCTAAAAGACTCCTGAGGAATTCCCCTTGCTAGTGACCTTGGCTTTGTCTGATATTGTCAAAGGTGCTCCTGTTTGACTCAGGAGAAATGAGTCTATCTGGACTGTCTTGTGTTGCTACATTGAATATTGTGAAGTGCAAAGTATTGGTGGCCACCTTTTGTTGAGATATAAAATTGATTGGTACTATATTATTTCTCCATTCCTGGAGTTCCAAAACATTTTTCTTTCTCATCGTATTTCAGAGTTCTCCTTTGGGTGTTCCCTGCTATTATTTTCAAGATTTACCACTGTGCTTTGTGGAGAGGAGAAAGGAGAATGTGTCTGTCTGGACCAGAAGTCCTTCCAGATACATTTTAAAAATTTCCATTAAGTAATCCATAGTGACATTGGAATCATGATAGGTCATGTGACTTGCTTTATTAATCTCAGCCTATGTATCTAAATTAGAAAACAGCAATCTTAGGTAACTCCAATTATAGCAAAGAACTTGATTATTATTCTCATTCTTACTCCCCTCCTACTAATAGTGTTATACTTCCATAGCATTTCACATGCCCTCCCTTTGTGAGCTGCATGTATTTTCCTATTCTTTTACTCTGGGCTCAGCCATGTTCTTTGCTTTAGCCTATGAAATGTTAACAGACATGTATAACTGAGCTTGCCCTCTTGTGTCTCTGCCATCACCGCAAGTGAGGCTTTCCAGGATAGAAGTTGCCTCCCAAGCCTGAGCTCTAAAATGAGTACAGATGGTACAGAACTGAACCCAGCCATCAGAAAGGAGCTGAGCCTGGCCAGTCCTATAACTTGACACCGAGCCACAGAAAGAAGTTCAACCAAGACCAGCTGATTTTCAGACAGGACATACACTCCTGAGTTAAGCTGATGCTTATCTTGTATACCACTGAGAGTTTATGATTGTTTGACATACATGATTATTGTTTAACTAAGTTGACAAGTTAAACTCCCCTGGACAATGTGCCTCTGTGGCCTTCTCCTATTGTTTTTTCCTTAATGCTCTCTACTAGCAACTGCAAGCATCATTTTGAGGATAACAGCCATGGGATAGAAAGTTGGAAGGAACCTGGGTCCTGGATGACAGCAAGGCCACACTGTAAGCCCTGATCTGCCTATATCCAGACTACTTTAAGTTAAAGTCATTATTATTTTGGGTACTCTGCTGCTAGCTATCACTTCTCCTTCCTTGCTTTTACTTTCTCTCTCTCTTTTTTTTTTTTTTGGTACCGGGGATTGAACTCGGGTCCTTCTGCTTGCGAGCCAGGCAGCTAAACCACTGAGCTAGATCCCTGGCCCTCCTTCCCTGCTTTTGCTCCCTCTCCTCTGCCAGTAGTCTCACCAAACACATCCCATCTGTGCCAGATCCATTCTTGGTATGGAACTCTTCCCCTGGTAATCACATGATTTTCTCCTTCTTTCTTTCCTTTTTTTTTTTCTTTCAGTACTGGGGATCAAATCCAGGGCCTTGCATGTTACAGGCAAGTATTCTACCACAGAGCCAATTTTCTCACCCTTTTCATTCCCACTGCTAAAGTTCCCTTCTTGAAGACATTTCCCCTGTCTTATTCAAAATAGCATATTCCACCCTGTCACTGTGATCTTACCCTGCTTTGTATTTTTCTTGGTGTCATTCATCCTCCATATATCTGTTTACTATCCATATTTTCTATGGACTGTAAGCCATATGAGAGTGTAAGGGAGGAAAAGTAGAATATTTTCTTTGCCCATCACAAGGGTCATGGCTGAGATGCCCATTAAAGGTAGATTATTAGGACAAAAGCATAACAAATGTATTCAGCCAAAGTTTTATGTGACATGGGAATCTTCAGAAAGGAAGACCCAAAGGCTCAGGACCAACTTGCATTTTATACTTCAGTTCAATGAAGAATGGATATTGTGTAGCAGAGTGACTGCACAGAAAGGAGTTCTGACCTACTGGTAATAAAGATGAGAACTTAGTGAGCCTGTTTATTCAGATTCTTATGTCTTCATTCCTTTCCTCTGGGTATAAAGATACCTATCATTGAGGGTCTAATGGTTTACTTTCAGAGGAAGAAGGTCAGAGAATTCCTTCATAGTTAACTCTCACATAGAAAGGCAGGAGAAGATCAGAGAGTGAATTTTCTAATTTTGCTATTTTCTCAATTTCCAAGTACCATATTTTGGGACCCAACAATAGCAAGAATTTCATCTCAATTTTTGTTTATGTGCGTTTTATTATGGCTATATTCTAGTGCCTGACACATAGATGATCTAACTAAATATGCATTGAGGAAAAAAATCTTTCAGTCTTGAGCAGCACCAAGCCTGGGATACAATGACTGGAAAAAGATCATACTTAAAAGTTATGGAATCAAAGACTATTGTAGGTTGAATAGTAACTTCCAAAATTTTCTGTGAGAAGACACTGAGATGGATAGGGGGTGCTTGTTACCAAGTCAGAGCATACCCCATCCTGAAAATGAAATTCATCCTTATTCCCATTTTAATTTGAATTTAACATGATCTTTACTAAGAAAAAAAATCCTTCAATAGTGTTTTAAAATATAATTAAGTATAACTTTTCCATATTTATTGTTTATAATTTACCTTCTTACTTGTCTTATTATATATTAAACTTTAAAGCATATAAAACAAGGGTTCACTGCTCTAGAACCCTGAGTATTTAATTCAAATATAAATTGACATATGGCAAATATATGGGATGGAGAGAGACATGCCGGGACTCTCTGAAGGTTTAGGGCTCTTCTGTACTTTGCAAGGTATGTGTGGTACTGTATCATGGACTTCATCACCTCTGAAAAGTAAAATTATGTGTTTATTGGATTTATGTGACCTTTTCCTCCAACAATTTCAGGGCACTAAACTTTTCTCACATCCACTCCTCTGGTAATTTTAATATGCAGAGAGGATGAGAAGGTCAAACAATTACAAGAAGTCTGCTAGCCCATGTCAGTGGGATGCATTAGGTGTCAGGAGTGTTTCTATCTCAGATATTAACAAACAGGACATTACACTTCATACAGCTAGGGTGAAGCAAGAGACCTGCCAGGGTACATGCTGAATCACCCTGGGGAACTGGGCAGTGCCACTGGCCTTCTCAGAAAGTATAGAAGAGAAAGTAGCAAAAGGCAATGTTTTCCAAACTAAAAACTAAGGTTTTTATTAGTATAGGTACTTCACATAGAATCCTTACCTGCATTCAAACATTTATTTTTTTCTTGTGTGAATGCAGCTGTTTGTAAGGGTAGAAAACTTTCTTTTCCATTCTGTTAATTACTATTGTTTATCTTTTACTAAATAAAGTTTATAGGATTTCTATGAAATTTTTTCTTTGAGCTTTTATAACAGCCACTCACATAGTATACAGTACCAGAAGTGGTTTCACACTAGAAAACAGAGCCAATGGGAGTGTTACAGGAGTGAAGAGATTTAATGCAGGGCTTAGGCTGTCACACATAGAGGTGAGCTGACTGAGGGAGGGTCTGCATGGCTTCAGGTGAAAGATCAGATAAGCAGCCCCTACTGACTCCTGTCTGCCAGGCTAGAGAGAAGCTGTTCTTGTCACCATGCTACCCTTAGAACATAGCTTAGCTTTTCAAATCTCATGAAAGTTCCTGCCATGAGTGAAGATCAAATCATGGCCCATATGGAAAGGGTTCTGGGAAGCATGGTTCTGGCTTTAGAGGGGAAAGGGGATACTTTGGAGATGACCAGAGACTACTCATCACAGGCAATAACACAATGGAAAGGGAGCTCTGCTTATTGGAAATAGGCCTGTTGGAAAGGCAGATCAAAACTAAGTTGCAGTTTTAGCTCTCCCCAGTCAGAAGAATTAGTATAGAAAAACAAAACAAACAAAAATATCAAATGCTGGTGAGGATGTGATGAAAAAGGAACACTTACAGACCATCGCTTGGAATGTAAATTAGTACAGACACTATGAAAAACAGTATGGTGTTTTCCCCCAAAAAACTAAAAATAGAACTACCATCTGATCTAGCTATCCCACTCCTAGGTGTAGATCCAAAGGAAATGAAGCCAGCGTCCCAGAGAAACACCTACATGTCCATGTTTATTGTGCTCTACTCATAATAGCCAAGGTGTGGACTCTGCCTAAGTGCCTGCCAACAGGTGAATAGATGCAGAAAGTATGGCATATATGCACAGTGGAGTATTATTCAGCCATAAAGAAGAGTGAGATCCTGTCATTTGCAGGGAAATGGGTGGGTCTGGAAGGTATGTTGAGTGGAATAAAGGTAAGTATTGCATGCTTTCTCTTACGTGTGGAGATTAAAATAAGATGACCTGAAAGTAGAAGAGGAAGTATTAGAGAGTTGGGAGGGGCCTGGGGGAGAAGAAGAGTAAAAGAGAGTAGAAGGGAGGGTGGACATGATTAGTGCATAATAGATGCATTTCTGGAAATGTCCCAATGAGGTCCACTAATTTGTAAAAATTATTCTGTGTTAATAGTAAACAATAAAAGAAAATGTATCCATTTATTTTAACTGATAACTGGGTTGCAATTGAAAAGTCACAAATTCAGTTCAGAACTTTGTTCGGGTAAGAATAAAATATTAGCTAATATATTTTTAATTTTCCTGAAATTATTTCCATCAGATTTTAGACATGCATATGCAACTGAGAAAAACACTTGTGGCAAGGCTCACCCATACACCCAGCCTTAGTACCTTAGCAATGTAGCCCAGACAATAGATCTTTTTACGGATCTGTTTTGCCTTCAAAAACAAATTAATTAAAATTGCTTCTTCTGGTTCTAAAATGTAACTCAGGTCTGAAGCACAAAAAATTTTGTGAACTGTTATTTGTACTACAAATGAAAACTGTATTGTAATATAAGTTGATAAAAATGAACAAATGAGCCCTTAAACTATTTATCTACAAATTACCTAACTAGAGAAAGCATAAGATAATTGTCAAAGTGAAATAAACAAAAGAAAAAAAGCAGCATGAATTAAAGCTTAAAGTTTCCTGGTATTTGAGTTCCAAACCGTCAGGATTAACAGAGGACAGAAAAAGGGCCCCTCTTGGTTTAACATTTTGGGGCAGTGGATATAAGGGATGTGGACCGCTGCTGATGTCTGGTTGGAGAAGCTGCTGAAAGGCATGAATAAAGCAGCTCCACAAAGTGAGCGAAGAGAACAGTTCTGGGACCAGGCTCCATAACGACGCGCTGCCCAGAAATGTGACTTTGCTGTTTCTGGTGATAAAGACTAGCGAAAGTATTGCTCATTGCTTAACACCTTTCCCTCTCATTTACTCTTGACTCTTTCTGTGTGCGCAATACTCCTTTTAGTTAAAAACTTAGCTTTTAAGAGAAACTTACTCTTTGAAAAAAAGCCGATCAGCATTTTTGTGCCTTGTTTCATATTGTGGCGCGCTCTTTTCTCCTGGATGGTGTGGAACTCTGCTATCACCAGGTGGCAGTTCACAGCTTTGCAGGTAAGGGAAAGAGTAGAAGGAAACTGTTCCTGTCGAACACCAAACAACATTGCCCTATGACCATTTTTGACGTTATAAGCCATAACTACCAGGATAAAATGTGTTCAAGGGTTTGGGTTACTTCAAAAAGACATTAAAAATTAATTGCTGACAGTTTCTTTAAGAGTTGCTCTAAAAATTGCAAATGCTGATTCATTTATAACCACAGCATTTCAAAGGTCTTATTTTTCTGTTTTGAAATTCCTATCACTATTGAGAAAAGGGACTATAACTGTCTATGTTATCATTATCATATTGGACTACAGAATCATGACCTCTTAGCTGAAAGAAGAATTAGTAGCCATCTGTTTACAAGATAAACTCCTCCAGTTTGGTTCATTTTCTACTAAACTTTGCTGTGTTGTCTTAGTTTCTGTCTTGTCTCTTGTCTCCTATGACACAGAAGACCATCTGTCTTCCAGAGATTTCATAAGAATTAAGGAAATAATAAATGAAGGTAGGTAGTGCTGTGCCTGCCATATAGTAGCTGCCATTTAACTAAAGGTCAGTTGTCTCCTTTCCCTACATGCAATTTCAGTGATAATGATAGGGATGGCTACCAACTATTGAGCTATGATCCAGGCGTTGCACCAACCATCCATTCTGTGAAGAAAATCAGACTCAGATATTAACTTTATTCATTTGTTCAAGATCCTACAGCAGATATAGGATGAATCAATCTCAGGGCATTCAAACCCTTTACTAGAAAGCCATCCTGACCTTGGATCTTCAAACCAAAGATGGAATCCCATGGGCCTCATTCAACCTTTAAATCATCTGAGGACTGCCTT